GTACAGCAGCAGCAGCAACAGGAGACCAGTTGCTGCTGCTGCTGCTGCTGCTGCTGCTGCTGCTGCACGTTATAAATATATTAGCAATATATATTTGTTGCTGTTTATTTATTTAATAAAAAAATAAATTTTATTTATTTATTATTATTTATTTCTTGTTATATATAAGAAATACCTAAAAAAAATAACAAACCCTGCTGCTGCTGCTGCTGCTGCTGTTCTTGCTGCTGCTGCTGCTGCTGCTGCTGCAGTACTTATTATTATTATTAATTGTATTATTATATTTATTTATTTTATTTATATTAATAATTATATTTAATTAAATAAAAAAGGAGACACTAAGTTATACACACAAAAAAGAGGAGACACCTTAAAAAGTTAGCAGCAGCAGCAGCAGCAGCAGCAGCAATTGCTGCAGCAGCAGCAGCAGCAGCAGCAGCAGCAACAGGAAGGAGACACCTTGACAGCAGTCTCTTCTTGCTGCCTAAATAATTGTCTCCTTCCTTTGTTTATTTCTTAGCTAAACAATTTAATTAATTTTTATTTAATTCCTTGTCTTGCTGCTGCTGCTGCTGCTGCTTCTGCTGCTGTTTCTGCTGCTGCTCGTGCTGCTGTTATTGCTACTGCTGTTATTGCTGCTGCTGTTGCTGCTGCTGTTGCTGCTGCTGTCTGCCTGTACAACAACCCGATCCCCTTGAGGGTTTAGGGTTTAGGGTTTAGGGTTTACTCGCCGAGTGTACAGACAGCTAAGCCCTAGGCAACAGCAGAACAGCAGCAGCAACCACCTTATCAGCAGCTGCTGCTGCAGCAACCACAGCAACTGCAGCAGCAACTGCAGCAGCAGCAGCAGGAAGAAGAAGAACTTGTTAAGGAGGAGGAAGAAGACAGCAGCAGCTCGTTGCTCTCCATGACTTAATTCCTCAGCTGCAGCAGCAGCAAAAAAACAGCAGCAGCAGCAGAAGCATCAGCAGCAGCACAACAACAGCAGCAGCAGCAGCAACAGCAACAGCAGCAACAGCAGCAGCAGCAGCAACAGCAGCAAATAGTATATAAGAAAGAAGGACATACATTCATCCTGCATGTGTCTTGTTGCATGTCTTTTAGTATAGTATCCAGCTGTACAGACACATCAATTTTTGCTGCTGCTGCTGCTGCTGCTGCTTCTCCTGCTGCAGCAGCAGCAGCAGGGACAGCCCCACTGCATGCAGCAGCAGCACCACAATTATCTACGCAGCTGTTGTCTGTCTTAGTATAATCAAGATCCTTAACATTATAGCATCTATATGCCCAGCTGCTGCTGTTGCTGCTGCCGCTGCTGCTGCTGCTGCTGCTGCTGCTGCTGTATCTAGCTACAGCAGGGAGGCAATATTCCTCCCTCCCCCCGTTGCATGCAGCAGCATGCTGCTTAAGACATTCACCATCCAGCAGCAGCTGCAGCGAGCTTGTTGCTGCTACGGAGGATAACTGCAGCAGCAGCACATATACACATATATATATTCTGCTGCTCCTGCTGCTGCTGCTGCTGCTCCTCCTGCTCCTGCTGCTGCAGCAACAGCAGAATGTATGGACATGCATACGCAACTAACACATAGAAGCACAGCAGCAGCAGCAGCAGCAGCAGCAGCAGAAACCAACAACCACAACCAATACAGCAGCACAACAACAACAGCAGCAGCAGCAGCAACACCACCACAGCAACAGCAACAGCAACAGCAGCAGCAGCAACACAGCAGCAACAGCAACATTAGCAGCAAGAACAAGAAAAAGAAGTACTTACCCTTTGATAGTATTGTGTACAATATTTATATTTATATTTATTAATAATAAATAATATTTGTTTATTTATATTTATATAAAAGGTGGGGTTGCTTATTGGTAATAAATAACACGTTTTTTTATAGCCACAATTATTTATACATAAATAATTATTTATTTTTTTTTTTTTTTCTTTTTTTTTTTCCTTTTTTTTTT